TGTTTAGAAACCGCCACTTGCAGGCACTGCCCACCCTCACACGGCATGGGTCAATGGTCAGCCCTGTGGTTGGCGAGTGTCTACCTTGTGCCTGGCTGATGCCCACACCCTGAGAGATAGGACTATTATTCTCTCTTGTAGAAAAAGATGAATTTAGGATATTTAAGTAACTTCTCCAAGGCTTCACTGCTAATTCAGTTGCTCAGTCAAGATTTGAATCAGGTGTGTGTGACTCCAGACTGGAACTATTTGGTTCATGAGGACTGCTACTTGACTACGCAGGTGTACTTCCAGAAGAAAGGGAAAGACAAAGGTATTTAAGCATTGTTTTTTAAAAAGGTAGTATTTCTATTTTCCTCCTTCTCCCTGCCTTCAGTATATTCCTACAAAAGGTTGATGGAAGGAAATTGACATAAATCATAAAATCTCAAATGAGATTTGGGTACTTTGTGGTTTTGACTTATCTATACTGATCTTTCCATGAATGCAGATCATCAAAGTTTGGCTTTTTCCTTCTATTTATTGACTTATCTATCCAAGTGCTCATCTGTCTGTGTCCTCTAATGTGGAAAGGGGCCACAGTGCCTAAGACTGGGCTTGAAACTTCTGGCAATGTAATACATGTATTGGTTTTGGATTCTTCTTAAACGGATCATCTGGTACCATTGAGGACTTTACCTTTCTCTGACATTCTTAATTGCTCCGAGTTAAAAAATAAAAAGTTGTATGAAGGAATGTTCAGTGTCCAAGAAAGACATTGGATGAAGTGGGAGTGAAGGGTGAAGAGCAGGGTTTTAAAGAGAAAAACTCACACAATTTAGGACAGGCGAAAATGGTGAAAGAAGCCTGGTATTCCCATGCCCACCCCGCTCCCTATTACAGAACACCAGGCTAGAGTCATCTTGTAGTGTCAGTTTCAGACTTTTATCACGTTTTCAAGTGGGGCCAACTTGACATTTTGTCCGCACAGCTCTGGCCAAAGCACTCGTGAGCCGAGGCTCGGCACTGCCAGGCAGCCCTCACTGTCAGACCAGCGGAGGCCACGCGGGCTGTGGACGCAGCCCCGGTATAGATGCAGCGGGGCCACATGCCTCTTCCTCTGGTTTAAATGTTTATCCAAAAAAGAAAAACGTAGCCTGAGATTTCACTCTGTGTGGCTGCCAGACACTTGTTTCTTTTCCAACTGGCTTCCCCATTGAGGGACTTTTCCCTGAAGGTCCTGGCGGTTTGGGCTTAGATTACAGGGAGCACGGCTGTATTTTTAAGCAGGCTGTGAGGGGAAGGGGGAAGACAGGAGAGGACACTGGGATGGTGTGTGTGTGAATGCGTGTGCTGTGTGGATGTGTGTTGTGTGTGTGTTACGTGTGTATGTGGTGTGTGAATACATGTATGTTTGTGTTGTGTGAATGTGTGTTTTGTGTGTGTATGTTATATGTGTGTGAATATGTGAGTTGTGTGTAGTGTGTGAATGTGTGTGTGCATGTGTGGTGTGTGTGTAAATTGTGTGCATGTGTGTGCATGTGTGACTGTGTGTATGCATGTGTTGTGTGTATATGTGGTATGTGAATGTGTTGTGTATGTGTTGTGTGTGGTGTATGTGTTGTATGAATGTATGACACTGTGTTGTATGTGTGTGAATGTGTTGTGTATGTGGTGTGCGAATGTGTATGTGAATGTGAGTGCATGTGTGCATGTGTGTACTGTGTGTGTGGTTGTAAATGTGTGTATGTGTGTGGTGTGTGTATGTGTGTGTTGTGTGTGCATGTGTGTATGGCTTTGTGCATGGTGTGTGTGGTGTGTGCATGTGTGTGTGTGAATGTGTGTGTGACTGTGTTGTGTGTGGTGTACGTGTGTGTTGTGTGTGGTGTGTGCATGTGTATGGTACATGTGAGTGTGTATTATATATGTGTGTGTTGTGTGTGTGACTGTGTCTGCCACACAGAGTGAAATCTCGGGCTACGTTTTTCTTTTCTGGATAAACATTTAAACCAGGGGAAGAGGCATGTGGCCCCGCTGCATCTATACCGGGGCTGCGTCCACAGCCTGCACGACCTCTGCTGGTCTGACAGTGAGGGCTGCCGGGCAGTGCTGAGCCTCGGCTCAGGAATGCTTTGGCCAGAGCTGTGTGAACAAAATGTCAATAAGTTGGCATTGTGTATATGTGTGTTGTGTGCGTGTTGTGTGGGATGTGCATGTGTGTTGTGTGTGGGGGTGTATGTGTGTGTTGTGTATGTGACTGTGTGTGTGTTGTGTGTGGTGTGTGCATGTGTGTGCCTGTGTGCTTAGAACCTTAATCCTCAAGTCCAAATGCCGATGGCACCTCTGGGAGGTGATTAGGGTTAGATGAGGTCATCAGGGCGGGTCCCAGTGGGACTGGCAGCTTTGTGGGAAGAGGAAGAGAGACCTCAGGGCAACACCCCACCCTTTGCCATGTGATGCCCACGGCTAAGTCATGGTGCAGAGGGGAGGCCCTCATCTGATGCACCCCCAACCATGGAATTCCAGCCTCCGGAAATGTCAGATACAATTTTTTTCTTTATAAATTGTCCAATCTCAGGTATTCAGTTATTGCAACAGAAAGCTGACTCTGATGAGGGCTCTGCAGCAATGCAGAGCTGGTCCCAGAGGCAAGATGGACAGAGCTTGTGCAGCTCTGGGCGTCCCTGTGGGCACCTCTGGGCCAAGCCCAGCTGCACTTTCACCCTCCTGATTTCCCACAGCAGGCAGGAGGGTGGTGGAGCCCACAGTCCGGGGCAGGAGGGTCTCTCAGATTCCTGGGAGGAGCTCAGAGCCCAAACGAGGACAGACAGAAGCTGCTTATCTCCAGCTTGGGTAAGAGCAAAGAGCTGGCCACTGTCACTTGCATTTTTGCAGAGACCCAGGCAGGCTGGGCGTGGGAGCTTCCCAGTGGAAGGGAAGGCACTGGCTGAGCCCCAGTGGAGGCTGCTGGCCTGGAAGCTGGGGCCGCAACTAGAACCGGGGCATCCCGTGTGAGTTTAAGGCGAGCACGTTTGTCTTTCTCGGTTTGTCCTCAGTGGGACGTCAGGGCAGGAGTCGGGGCAGCTGTGAGTTATTAACCAAGTCTTAGGCATCTGGGACTGACTCTTACGGGTTGCTTGATTCCTAGATTGGGGCGAGAGATAGCGGCCTGGCTTCCCGCAGGTGTGACTTACCGAGGGCAGGCCAGCATCCAGCCTGGCTGCTGCAGGTGACGTGTTGGATTTCTGGGCTGGCTGCTGCAGGTCGTGGGCCACAGTTCCATTTGTACAGATGGTCACACCATTGTCTCTTTGTATATCCAGCGTCTCAGACCACATTCTGGCTCCAGCCCTTCCTGATGTGGGGCCTTGGACACGTCCCCTGACTGTCCTGTGCCCGTCTTCTCAGCGGTGAAGGGAGCAGTGACCATGCACACCACTGAGGACAGCCGTGGGGATGAAACATGGCAGGCCGAGGCACAGTAGGTGTGC